CCCCCCCCGCGCCCCGCCCCCGCCCCCCCCCCCCCCCCCCCCCCCCCCCCCCCCCCCCCCCCCCCCCCCCCCCTGGGAGGGTGGTATTGGATATATGAATGCACGCTGATATGTTTTAATTCAAACACGCACATTAGAGGGGAGTTGATGACTGAGTTGGGAAGCGTGGATGGGAATTAGGGATAGAGATGTAGCTTTTTAGCTTGTAAATAAATCCTCATCACGTTGAACAGATATAGTTACCCTTGGAATACGGAAGAAAGTCGATATTCATGTTTTGGTAGCATGGTGTGAATCTCAGATGAAGAAAACATTAGAGCGGCTCGGTTAAAATTTAATGAAATGGGTACATAAATCATCTAATTGTTTTCCAAGTATTTTGATCGATTCAAGTTTTCTGGATATTTTTAATTGATATGGATATATATCTACTTTCTAAATCTACCGAAACCCTTGTATATATACCCTATTCAAGTATGTATGTATGTATGTATGGAGTAAGGAAGAAATGCCCTGCCATGGAATACAAACCAGTCCAAAACAACCTATCCAGGTGTAAAGTCATTCATCCCGCGATGCGAATGTCCCGTTCCATTCATGGTATATCCATCCGTCCGTCTATGGAGCAAAGCCCAACGTAGCTAAGTACGTAGGTAAATAAAGTCGTTGCGTAACCCCTCCCCAAACTCCTTGACGCCTACTATGCGAGACGTAGATAATAAGTAAAGGTATGCGTCGAGATACCTTCACTTCCACTTTCACTTCCATCTCTCACTCAATTCTGCTCCGTCCTGTCCTGGTATTGCATCGTGTCGTGTTCCACGTTCACGCCCCCGTGCGTGACTATATGCCCAGAACAGTCTTCATGCGCTCATACGTGTAAAAGCTGACAGCCGCCAGCGGGATGATCTTGACGTAGCCGATCGTCAGACCCACGAAGAAACCAGGCAGCCCGCGCTCCCTGAAGATCAGGCCCGCCGTCTCGGCGATGCGCAGCCTGTGCCCGTCGCCGATGGCGCCCGCGACTTGCATCCGGCGGCGGACGACCTCGAGCGGGTACGAGATGGTCTGCGAGACGGCGCCGGATATGCCGCCCGCGGCGAGCTCGGCCCACGCCGTCAGGGGCGCGGGCTTGTCCTTGGGCGCGTTGGCGGGCTGCGGCAGGGTCGCGTGTTTCCGGAGCGCCGCGGACCGGAAGACGTCGCCGACGGTGTCGTGCGTGAGGAACGACATGCCCGCGTACGGTATCATGCCCAGCATCGTCGTCGAGAAGCCGCGGTAGAAATTGATTATCCCGCTCCGTGGCGCGACTGCGCTTATCGTTGTCGCTGTCGCTGCTGCGATGGAGGAGGTAGATGCGGATGCGGTCGTAGTAGAAGAAGGCGGGAGAGGATGTTCGTGGTATATCTTCTTGCAGATGTGGAGGAGTGAGGAACTTCGCACCCCGGTCTCGAAGGCTAGGCGTACGCGGATTACTTCGAGCGGGTATGTGAAGAGCACTGATGTTAGGCCTGCGAGGGCGCCTGCTGAGAAGCGTCGCAGCCATGTCTCGTTGTGCTTGCTTCCGCCGATGATGAGCGCGCGGTACTGCTCGTACGCGACGAACTTGATGGCGGCGTAGGGGTAGATCTTCAGCAGCGTGGCGGAATGACCCCGGAATAACCCCACTACGCCGTGCTGGGCGTAGATGTCTCCTAATGCGCGGCCGAGGCCTGTCCAGGAACCGGTGTATTTTGCGAACTGCGGATTGCTTGTTTGGAAGAGGATTTTGACTCGGTCGAGGGGTGCGACGGTGGTTTTGGCCTGTTGCGAAGGAGAGGGATAGTGTCAGCACGTTGGTCATGATTGTTGGGTGTAATACTCGGCATCGTAATCCGGAATGCGAGAATCGTAACAAAAGCACTACTTACAGCACATCCTGCCAGACCACCGGCCACAAAGGACCGCATGATGTAGTCCATGCTATGCTTGTTGGGCTTCTTCTTGTCTTGCCCCGCGGTCGCTTCGGTCATGGCGCGCTCTTCAGTGGCAGATTCTGCTGCTGCTGCTGTTGGGCTACTACTACTACTAGTCTTGCTGCTGCTCGAGTCCTTGTCTGTCGCAGTCGAGATCACGGTGCTCGCCCTCCTAATCGCGCCGTCGACCTTGCCGACGAGGCTATCAGGGTTCCCGCCTTCCCGCTGCATCTCGGCGACGGAGCCATAGTTGGTGAGAGCCGATGGCATCTCCTACGCCACCGACTCCTCTGTCGGGTTTCTCGCACGCACGACGACACGTACTATACTTTCATGTAGCGACGGAATGGTGATTGACTTGGTTGTCTCAAAGGAACAATCACTTATGTAGAAAAGTATAGCAAGGAAAGAGGCTGTCGGATAAATGGAGAGAAAAAGAGGGTTGGAGGTGTGTTGGAGGGATCCGGGGTCCAACTAGATAGAGGCCAATTCACAATTCACGAGCCTAGGCCAGGACTTAAGGGCGTTTAAAAGCCGCGAACGTCATATCCACCGGGGGAAAATTGCAACCCCAGCAATCCTCCTCCATACAACCCCCCCAGATTGTACCGAGCCGAGGGTTGCCGAAGTCGAGCCCGGCTTTGCCCCAATTTTCCGTTCGTTTCATGCTAATTCCTCTCTACTTACTTTGCCATGTCACGAGACCAGATTCCTGGTTCCTGATTGCAAGGAAAACGTTATGCGGTCATGCTCGGCGCTAATTTTAAGTGATCATTCATCACTCATTCCAGACAATTAGGTATTCTACTTATTGTATTGATTGTCTACTACGAAATCTGCAAGGCACTCTTCTCGGCATACCTCAGCCTTCGATCCTTGTTCACCTACTTTAAGCATCGTGACCACTTCATCGCCTCCTCATCAAGTCAAATCAGCGCTGAAAAAGAGCCGCGATACCTGTACCTGTCCATCCAGATATGTCGATATTTACTAAGTGCTATGCTTTTGTTAGGCCATCTATGATTCAGGCGTATGCTACCGACGCTGTATTGCAGTTGGATGTCGTCGTAGGAGGTAGCTGGTCTAAATAATTTATGTTATTGTTCCTCTAACCTTTGCTGGACCCCCGTATAATTTTGAACATGTCAAAGCTGATCTGCCCGGATTATTGATGGGCTGTATATGAAACTGGTAGAGAAACTGGTAGAGAGATTGTGGCTGTCGCCCTATCGCACCGTCAGCCTCGCTTCAGTTCTCTCCCTCTCCGCCTTCTGGAACTCCGCTATTTCCTCTTTGGTGGAATTATAGGCGAGCTTAGGCTTGTTGTAGTTGACGCTATTCGGGTTGTCTGGGTGCTTCTTCCATTCTCGGTCGATTCGCTCGATGCGCTGGCTGAGTTTGAGCTTGAGCCCTTCCTCTCGCATCTCTGTCATTCGCTGTTCTTTGTAGGCCTTGTATAGGGCTTCTGCCCTCCTTTCAGGATGCCTGTCGATCTTCATTCCTCCGGACTCGACATCGGCAAGAACATCGAAGGCGTCATCGATGTTGCTGGCACCCAGCTCAGGGAGTTTCTTGTTGTCGTCAAGTCCGAGTGCTCCAAGGGCAGCGTCCAGGCCTCTGCTAGGTTTCTTTTCTGCTGTTTTCGCGTTCTTGGGTTTTGCTCGACCGGGGGTATTCTTTTCCTCTTCAGCAAGAAGTGCGTCTTTTTCAGCTTTCTTTCGTGCTTGAGCTTCCTTTTTTGCGGCTGCGTCTTTCCTATAATGTACAGCATGGATTAGCAAGCTATGTTACCAACAACGTACTTGGCGGCCAAGGTAGGGAGGGTCTCTGAGATGGTGTTTCATAGCGTAGCCAAGAGGGGCGAATAGTAGGAATACGTACGCCTTGGAATCGTCCTTTGCACCTTTCTGCCATTCGGTAGCTTCAGCGCGCTCCTTCGCAGCATCCTGTGCGGCAGCTTTAGCGGCGGCCGCGTCGGCCTTGCGGGCCTGTCCAGCCGCCTTCTTGCTGATATTGCCACTTTTTTCCTTTGGAGGCATAATTTCGAGACCCCGGTACGGGTGGTGTATCAAAGCGAATTACTCTGGTAGAGGGCGACAGAGGGTGATGTTGGCAAAGCCTTTAGCTACAAAAATTGTGGAAGATCTACAGGTAAGTAAGTGAAGATGTGACCCCTCGGACGCTAACCAGGCGGGCACTTAAGAATGGCGGGGTGACTTGACTGCCTGTTGTGGGCTGTGGATTGTGGGTCTTTTAGTGGAGGGGCTTGGACTGATTCTGCATTTTGATTGGCGCTAGGCAAGACATAGCTAGATCTGCTGGTACGGTACCTCTGTCACATAGGTAGTAGTACATACATCACCCTTCCAATTCATCTTTGATTCTCATGATATACAGCTGAATAATAGGAATGGATAAAGGGACCTTTGATCATTCGTACTTTATAAGGGATCCGGGGCCTAATTTCTTTGCTTGGACTCTGGTAACGTCTCTTGTAACATCCTCCGGTTTGATATGTCGTTGTTAGTCGTAATTATATATACGGCACCGTCCGAAGCCGGACAGCGTGTCTCCAGGGAGACAAGCCCAACTACGGAAACCTCTTAAGCTTCTAACTATGCATAAATCTAAATATGAATGTAAACATTCACAGCATATGAAGATTGTTATAGGATGACGTTGGTCAAACTCCCTCTAAAAGGTAGCAATCTGAAGATCCCTTTAGTATTGGCCGGATGTGAGTCATCGCATGATAGTCGTAGAATCTTCGCTCCCGTTGTATGAATGATGTTCAGCTTTCCGAACCAGGTCTGTCATTTCAGCTGAGGTTATGAATCTCGTTGGCGTATTGACTGACAGCCCCCAAACTCTAGGCCTCTGCTAAATAGCACGCCTATGGCATGCTAGCTTTAGCAATCACTCACTACTCTCTCTCGTAATCCCCCCAAGCCAGACGGAAAGCCGCTTGCTCATACTCGAGATATGGGACAAAATGACTCTAAGTATGCCCTAGGATAAGTTTTACACTGAACGGCAGTAGACACGAGTTTAAATGGAATTATATTCTGAGTCATAGTTAATGGACAGGAAACTAATAGCCGAATTGGTAGGTACTTTCTATGGCAATACGCCTTCGCAGGCTCTGTTTGTATGAAGCTTCTCTATCCGGCTTATGAGGAATCTCAATTCAATGGGCCATTGACATTGTACAGTCACGTCGAATATAGAGCCAACTTGACTGTGTAATATAAAACGAGTGGGTATGAATCATGATTAGTATCTGCAATGTGTGGTGATAATATTGCTGTTGCTCTAGCAGTATTTTGGCGATGTTGATGAATGACGATAATTGGCGTGCAGTCACCGTGAGGGGAAGTCAATAGGCACTATCGGTAGGTATCAGCTTGCGCAATGTGACAGTATAATGTGACCCATTTATCAGCCTGCCTTATGATACCGTGCCATTCTCATTCCTGCTGTTCATTTTTTATTTTTTCTTTTTTCCTAGCCTTACCTATATAAAAAGGAGACATAGAAGTGTGTGAAATCAGACCTGTCCTAGAGCTTGACATTCGTACCGGAAAAGCCGGACATTGCCGACGGTCAAAATGGCAGCAGATAATACAACCGGTGCAGATATCGCCCAGCTTCCCAGCCCTGAGCAGATTATCTGCATCTTGAAGAAAGAAGGAGTGGCGAAGGATACGTACGAAATATTCTCGTTCGAGCAGAAGGAGCAAGACGGAAAATCCTCATTTACGCTACATCGCTCATCTCATGTTAAAGGCGAGGATGACAAGGCCTTACAAACCCTCATCGACGATTTTCAGGTTGCCGGTGCGCCCGCACACTTACAGTCGGGCCCACAGCGCCGCGTCCACGTCGTTGTGTCCGTACGCTCGGGCACCGGGCTTAGCGCGCAGTTCTACGAGAATGTCCTTGCGCCATTACTTGAGGCGCTCGGCCTCTCGGCCTCAGGAGAAGATCCAGGGCAGAAAGCATCTTATCACCTACTCGTCACGCAAGATGCAGAAAGCGTGAAAAACTTCGCCAAGGACCTCGCAGTCCGGGACCGAGCCGAGACAGGTGTCGAGCACACGGTCGTACTGCTCAGCGGCGATGGCGGCGTGATAGACATGTTGAACGGCTATGCGTCAGAGAGCGCCGATATAACCTCTTCGAGTCCGCCGCTCATCGCCATTCTACCCCTAGGCACAGGCAACGCACTATTCAATTCGCTGCACAAGAAGGCAACAACACCAGCATCCTCGGATCTCGTGCAGGGACTGCGCACGTTGCTCCGCGGAACAGCTGCCCCGCTTCCCTCCTTTAAAGCCGTATTCCCAACAGGCTCGCGCACAATCACATATTCGGAGACTGGGGACAACTCTACGACGGCTTCGACTCCTAGTCTCGGGGAACAGGCTGAGTACATAACGCATCTCTACGGTGTGGTGGTCGCGAGCTATGGCTTCCACAGCCAGTTAGTCTGGGAAAGCGATACGCCAGAGTACCGTAAGCACGGCGCAAAGCGATTCCAGATGGTCGCGGAGGAGCTGTTGAAGGAAAGTCACGCGTACCGTGCTACCGTGGAGATCGCCCAATCGTCTCCCGCTACGGGCGGAGGAAAAATGATGAAGAAATTGGATCGCGACCTGCACGCCTACATCCTCGCGACGACCGTCTCGAACCTCGAGAAGACGTTCTGCATCTCCCCCGCCAGCCAGCCTCTGGACGGGCAGTTGCGGCTCGTGCACTTCGGTCCCGCGGACGGGAAGAAGACGATGGACATCATGATGGCTGCTTACGATGGCGGGAAGCATATCGGCATGGACGGGGTGGGATATGAGGAGATGGACGAGATCAGGATCACGACGCACGAAGAGGACGCGCGGTGGCGGAAGGTGTGCATCGACGGGACTATCGTCGAGATCCCTGCCGGTGGATGCATGGTCGTTGAGAAGGAGGCGAGACGGCACTTGGGAGTGCTCGTATAAGCCGACGGCACAGAGAATTTCCTTGGTTTTATATATACTTCCAGCTACTAGCTGGAGATCCTAGAGTTTTTCACTTGAAAGCAAGCATCGAACATGGGAGCTTTGACCTATTATCTCTCGTTTCCACGCCCTTACCCCTTTGGCTACTGTGAGATTGAATTACAGACCTCCGTAATACTACTTTAGAATTAGAAATTAGGCTTTGCAAATCTAAGCAAGGTGGGTAAATTCACCTGAGCTGGTATGTCAACGATTACTTACTGTTAAAAGTCTGCTACTCAGCAGGACTCGGTAACGGGATATTACTATATGATCGAGGTTCTAGCTAAGCTTAAATTCTACATATACTACTTTCACACCAACTCATCTACCACAATAGAGCGAAAGGAAAACACGACCCCCTATCATGATCACGAATACAGTGAAGTCGTTGCTATTGGCCTTGACTAGAATATGTAGGCGCCTTTTATTGTTAACAAGCGCTTGTCCAGGGGGCATACGATCGAATAGTGGCCACGTTGGTGATCGGAATGAGACCATTTTCTACAGATTTCTATATCGTTATAACTTAAGCAGTGCGATATGCGACCTTCGCGTTAGGAAGCTTGTTAGATGGCTTAGTTTGACTTTCTCTAGGTCAGAGACGAAATTATCTACTGCAAGCAGAATTCACTGACTTTGGGAAGTCGCTGTGAATGAAATGGACTCACTTGGATGATGCTTTTAAACAACTTTACTTAGCAGTAGTTATAGAAGTTGGTACTACGCAATTCCGATTAGGATTTGAGAAGGAAGAGTCGATGCGAAGTTGACTCACTCTTAAATTGTAGTATTCAAGTAGAATCTTGACGTCCACGCTTCCAAGAAGAGTTGCACGACAAAGGATCAGAATGTCGATCTCTCCTCCATGGGTGAGTAGACCAGGGGCACAATGTATCGGGTAATACCTCAGCAGTATGAGAGTTAGGTTGTGAAACCATTCCTTCCAGCTGTCGATCTTAAAATCATAATGTAAAATAAATCCACAGGTTTGAACCTCAGAGCCCCGAAGATAGCACAATATGTCTCCGTGTAATCAGACTACCTAGTTGATCCCATCTTCGACGTAAGTACGAGTCGGCATCACGGGAAACGGGCAAAACGACGCCGAACATCGGACCCGGTCAGCAGCTATCATGCACCGTTAGTTACAAGCAAGCAAGCAACACTGTGGCGTAGGCGAAGCGAAGCAGTTGGTTCAGCTCACCGGGGACCATTCCAAAAGGGAAATCAGTATACGGCACAGCACTTTTATGTTGCATCCGAAGAGACCGTGTGATAGGTAGGTATCGTCCTGTAGACTTGGACCTCTACTCGCAAGACACGACATCCGCTTATGAAAAAAGATGGAAAATGATTCGGCACTCGATCTAGGTATTAGAATAGGTAGAGCGCAGAGAGCTATATTTTACAAGACGTCCTTGAAAAACGCTACATGCGAGATACTCACTCCAGTTCCAACCTAATGTTTTGCCAATCCCATGCTGCACCTAACGCTCACCCTCCTCTGTCTCAGATATACAGCGCCATCCAACCAATTAATCTGACAGGCAGTTAGAAGAAGCTTGATTCGGGAATTGATCGTCTAGACACGTGGGCGTGGGCGTGGTGGTGGTGGTTGCGTGGGGATTTTACCCATTTGCCGCTCTTCCTTCCTTTCTTCGGGTACTCCTCACTCACATACAGTACTAATACCGGTTTTTTTTTTGGGGGGGGGGGGGGGGGGGGGGGGGGAAAATCAAAAAAATTTAAATGTTTTTGTTAACATTTCCAGTTTTAAGGGGAAAGTACGGGTTCACTAATTTATTGGG